ACTTGTGCAATTTCAGTCAGTTTACTTGGTCTGAGACCGGGGCAGTGGCGTCTATTCAGTACCTCCAAGGTAGTTTTGTTTTACGACTGGGTCCATAAGCCAGTGGAAGGCTTTTGCCAGATAGCCAAATGTTCCACTGAGTCATGTGGCTTAATATCCGAGCTAAAAGAAATTTCCCATGACAAAATACCCGACCCCTACAAAGTAATTTTAACAGATTATAATGTAATTAACTCATTTTAACGTCAAATAAACAGCCAATGAGGACCATATGGTTAGGACGGGTAAGTTCTACTGCAGGCAGGAATAAGGAGCAAGGTGGCAGCACCATAAACAGGTAAACATCCGGGTTGCCACAGGGCGCCAGCACACACCCACACCACACAAGCACCTCCTGACGTCACATTACTAATGCTGTATGCACATACCCCCTCCCCCTCCCACCCCTACTGTCGTTAATAAGATACTAAGATAATATGTTTATTTACTACATGTACAAGATATACAGGCCTAGCTGACATAAATGGCATGCTACTATATAGAAAGCCGCTTGTTATGCAGAGTATTTCGGGCAAATTAGGTCAGCTTTGTGCCAGGATGCGACCCACACCAGTCGACTAACTCCCAAGTACCCATTTTACTGATGGGTGAACATAGACAACCGGCGTCAAGAAACACTTTAAATGTTTCCACCCCTTCGCCGAGAATCGAACCCTGACACTGTGTGAGTGCTTTTGCCACCAGACCACGGGGCACCGTGAAAGGTAATATAAGTTTTGATACTCAGTATCTATACCGACTTGAGAAGAGATGTTTAATGATCATTATTAATTGTAAAGTTTGAAAATTGATGAATGAACAGCTGGCATTGATGCAAAACACAGTGAAGTATAGGATATATGGTGGTGAGTTGTCACCCCCCTTTCCCTGTTATTACTCTTCCCCTTCCCCTAGCCGACTGTGAGTCATATTGCCCTTCACAGCCGACTGCTCAAGGCCAACCCTTAATCCCACCCGCTTCTCCCTCCCAACCTTTTCCCTACCTTCAAACACCCATCTCTCCCTACCCGTCTCGACACACGATCCTCCTCCCTACCTCCCAATCATCCTCCATTGGCCCCTCCCTACCAACCCTTCCCTCCTTACTGTTCATATTTTTCCTTGCTTCCCAGGTCTATCCGTCCTTGTCCTCTCCTTCCTTGATTTCAAACCCTCTCCTTCACCCTGAATCCCCCCTGACGTTACTTAGTAACACACTCACTGCAGTGGATCACAGAATACCTGACAGGAAGGAAACGAGTGATAGGACGTGACAAGGTGTCAGAGTGCGCGTCTGTGTGGACGCGCACATGCATTGGATGCAGAAAATTAGAAGCAGTGACAGTCCATACATAGTTTTCAGTGTAGTTATGGCAGGACTCGAAACTAGAATACGATAATACTTGTTGATGAAGCTTAGAGGTAGGGCCAGGAGCTAAGATTCAGCCCCATGTTCTCTCACTGTTCATGCAAACATGCATTTAAGTATGCATGAGCACACATGGACACATACCAGTGGGCACGTATGTGCATGTATACTGTGCACATGGATATATACTGAAAGGGAACAAGAAATTAGCCTAACGCTAAAGACATTGTTTATGCCATAAGTTTATAGGTAGTGCGTGCTGTTGGGTTTTGCTAATGTATACATTCCTCTGTTTTATTTTACGGTTTCTTTGGGATGCATATTAGTTGTCTTAATGCATCTTTGTTTTGACCTTTTTTTTTCATGATACAGTAGACCGTCGTTTAACACGGTAGTTATGTTCCTGAAAATACCATGGTATTTAAAACTGTGTTAGACAAACTGAAGAACTTAAGGGAAAAATAGGGTTATGTTCCTGGGAGCCCCCAAAGCCAAACAACTTTTAGACCAACAGATCTTACAAAAATAAAAGTAAATGTGAAATTGTGGTTCATTGTTGTGATGTATTATGTTGTTTTTACTGCTTCAGATTAGATGTAACAGAAATAATAGTTTTTCTTACCTTAAATTGTGGGTGCTGGTGTTTGTGGATGATTGTAGAGAGTGGAGAGTTTTGCTGTGGCTCTACTGGGCTGAGGTGGATGGTAGAGGTTCTGGTACCAGATTGTGCATTAGTCAGTCTAGTCAGCAAGTCAGTCAGTCATCACACACTCATATTTATCTAGTAGAGGATGGTCCTACACATGTATGAACCCAAGGCTGGGACAAAGGTGGTGGGAGTGGTGGGGGATGGCAGTAGGTCTCCCCTGTTGACTCGGTGATCTAACCCACAGCCAGGCAGTGTATATCCCACAGGCGATGCTCCAAATTTTTTCCCCTCTTGTAAACTGAACTGTGTTAAGTTAATTTTACAAAGTGTTATACAGAAATATGCCGCAATTCTTCATTAGTGCTATAACAAAGACGTGCCAAACAAAACCGTGTTAAATGACGGTCTACTGTATATCAGTTGTACTTTCTGTATGAAATGGGAATGCAGGTTACGAACACAAGTATGCCTGCAGAATGGATGACATCATCAGTGCTTTTGTGGTCCATTGTAACCCTCATTCCCACATCATGGAATTTGGAGAAACAGAATGAAAGCACAATTTAACACTAAAATCTATCCAGACTTGAGTGCTTTATCAAAATGCTGCTACAGTTTTGATAAAGCATTTAAGACATGTTCTTTACCACCATGTGATGAATAATGCCACAATCTCTGATTGTGGCATGCACCAGCTACATTACAATTTATTTGACATTTATCACACACCTCTTGGCATGCCCTGTTGACCAGTAAACTGGCATTTCAGAATGGAGCAGGTTATATAGGGGCCCCACTGCTCTGTTAATTGTTTAGTTCATCAAACCAATAGTGAGAGAGCTGCCCTTCCTCTCCCCAGCTGAGATGAAGTTGTGCTGACCAATAAGCTGGTTTTGTATACTCAATTTTTTTTTTTATTAACGCATCAGCCAATTCCCACCAAGGCAGGGTGGCCCGAAAAAGAAAAACTTTCATCATTCACTCCATCACTGCCTTGCCAGAGGGGTGCTTTACACTACAGTTATAAAACTGCAACATTAACACCCCTCCTTCAGAGTGCAGACACTGTACTTCCCATCTCCAGGACTCGAGTCTGGCCTGCCGGTTTCCCTGAATCCCTTCATAAATGTTCCTTTGCTCACACTCCAACACCACGTCGAGTATTAAAAACCATTCGTCTCCATTCACTATCAAATGGTGAGGTCCAAGCCCCTCACACAAAACCTTTACGCCCTCCCTCCAACCTTTCCTAGGCTAACCCCTACCCCACCTTCACTCCACTACAGATTGTACACTCTTACTTTTATTCCGAGGTGTAAACCTGCCGATATGGGTGGCTCTTTGCTGTCTGGCTTATTGTAATACTGTCGATTTAACAGTATAGCAATAAGCCTGCTTGGTGAAGGAATATACAGCTAAAGAGAAAACTACCCATGTTTGATTTTACCTTGCCTTTGATAGTATGGTTATTCCTTGACTGGAGACTTTAATTATAACCAGGTACAATAGACCTTGAAATTGCTATCTGCATTTGTAATACTGATTTATCACTGTCATGTCTTCTAAAAGGGTACCTAATGCATGTGGTGTGCTATAGACTGTAGCATATTTTAACTGGCTTAGGTCATACTGTTGCATCAGAGGTACTTGTCAGAACATCTGTAAGCATTTATGGGAAAACTGTAAAATCTATAATGGGACCGAAATGTCGTTGTAAGTTCCTCTCTATGTATGGGTTATTTGTGTATTGTTCCAGTCACGGTATTGTGCCTTTTTTTGTTATCTTTGATATTGTCACCTTTGCACCATTTATAACATTTCTGGTAAATCAGCTCTAATATACATTATTTAGGTATGAATACTGGTCAGAGAGCCTGTCATAAGTCCGAGGCATCGGTAAACGAGTATGTCGCTAAGTGAGGAGAGGCTGTACTACATGTATAGGATTCTGTGATGTGGATCTTTGGGAAAGATACTTTGTGTTCAGAGGAAAATCAATCTTAATGTGGCTCCAAGAAGTGATAGGAATCTCAAGTCACACATTTCCTATTGAAAGCTTATTATGTCTCAGACAGTATTGCATTCTTAATGTGACCATACCCATTTTAAATGAATGTAAAACCTTTAATTATTATTTTCCAGTTGTCAGTGCAGCTCCTGGCTTAGCTGATGTAAAGCACAAAAAGGCCTTGATTCTGAGCTATTCACTTCGGTGCTTTAAACTACCATAACTACCATACAGTACATAGTTGAAGAGAGAATCCTTAAAATGTAATAAGTAGTAGGCAGTGATTGCAGAGTTCATCTAAGATACCCTAAGGAAGTACAATGTATTCTAATTGCAGACTGCAATGACAAAAGGTTTGACACTGGAGGTAATAAGAGAGGCTACTACAGTGGTGCTCGTGTTCATCTACAGAAAGATAACTTGCTAGTCAGGTATTCTGTATTTATGCTTCCAAGCACAAGGACAAAATTCTGCTGTTACCTTGAGCGTGTAATGGTCCTGGATAATGAATGGACAGATGTGAAGGCTAAGGCTGTTGTATTGTGTGTGCTTTACAGCAGACCTCTGACTCTAATTTTTTCTGATCTGAATCCATAACAATTTGGATTGTGCTTTCATTTGCAGGTGCTAGCATGTCTTAGTAAAATGTGGTATAAGGTACCAGTATGAAGTTCTAAGTCCCCAGTGAAATCATTTCCAGTTTTGAATCAGTCACTGTACCTGGGTTTAGTGTGGTGATAACATGTGAGAACTTTTGTATCTTAACCCATTATGAATTACAGTAAATAAGAGTCTGAGAGTTCTAGCAATGCATCCAATGTATTACTAAATGTAGCTCTAATTAGCCAGTTAAAGTATTAACGTATTGCATGTGTTTTTTGCGTGACCTTTATGCATAAATTAAAAATTTATAAATATTTTTCGTTTATTTCTAGATATGGATTGAAACAAATTGTAGCAATAAAAAAGTCAGCAGGATAAATGGTGTAAGTGCAAGACAGTTTTGAGAAAATTTGAGAGGCGGCATAACTTTTGAAAAATAGACAAGACATTGAAGTGTTTGTAATCATTCTAACAAGCTGTTGCGGGCTGCTCTTAGGGGAGCGCTAAAAACAGCGCCCCCAGACATGGATGTATGCGAGTTGAACCCTCCTTGGACCCAGCATATGACCTCTTCCTACACCTGTGAGGAGTTAAGTCTGGAAAACAGGAGCAGAGAAAATGTTACACCCCTGCCAGACAAGACCCATGCCATACAGCAGCTCCATGCACTCCTTCCAACAAGACCAGATGTGGGTAAGTTAATTTATCAGCTCTTAACACGGTTAATGTCATTTAAGATGTGTGTAATGTTTATCGCCCTCGTAGTCTTAAGCTTGCCTGAAATGCTCTGCATAATCATGGGTTTTCTACTTGCATTAAAGTGTCACCCATTTCTGTATAAACACTATCATGTGGAAATAAACTTTAATTTGAATTTGAATGAATCTTGTAAAAAGCTGCTGTGTGATAGTCCACAGAGCAGCTTTTTGTTGGGTAATTATTAATGATTTAAGGCGATTAGTCATAGTACGTAGATCCCCAGACACGCACACCATAGATGAGGTAAGGGTAGATTAGAGAATGGTATTGTGTAAGTATTGTTGTTTAAGGGTACATAGTATCGTATCTTAGGATGACTACAGTTTTGGAGACTTTCTTGGCTGTTGATTATTTTTTTTTTTTTTTTTTTTTTTTTTTTTTTTTTTTTTTTTTAACGCTTAACACTTCGGCCGTCTCCCACCGAGGTAGGGTGACCCAAAAAAAGAAACCCTTTCACCATCATTAACACATAATCACTGTCTTTGCACAGGTGCCCAGATATGACAGTTTAGATGTCATTCCAAACAACCAGTATCCCAAACCCCTCCTTTAAAGTGCAGGCATTGTACTTCCCACCTCCAGGACTTAAGTCTGGCTAACCAGTTTTCCTGAATTCCTTCACAAAATATTACCTTGCTCACACTCCAACAGCTCGTCTAGTCCCAAAACCCATTTATCTCCACTCCTGTCTAACATACCATACTGTACTGAGATTCAGATGTGCAAAATTTCTTGTTATGCACAGCTTAAGGATTTATATTACACCAGGAACCTAACCCATTCAAACTTGAGGGTTGAGTTGTATACAGTTGTCCCTACAAATAATCAGAGGGTTATACAGTGGACCCCCGGTTAACGATTTTAATCCGTGCATGTACTAGTCTACTAAATGAAGAATAAATGACACTTACCTTTATTGAAGATGCAGCAATGACTGATGAGACACTGTGTCCTGGGAGCGCCTTTTCCTCCTGAGTACTGTAGGTCCTGTTTGGCATTTTCTTCCAGAACAGGCCTTATCACACTGTGTATGCCACTACGATTCTTAAATCTCTCAAACCAACCTTTGCTGGCTTTAAATTCACCAATATGAGCACTAGTTCCAGGCATTTTTCCTGTTCACCCGGGTGTTAGTCGACTTGTGGGGTTTGCATCCTGGAGATAGATTAAGACCCCAATGGAAATAAGTTAGACAGTCTTCGATGACACTGATCTTTTGGGTTATCCTGGGTGGCAAATCCTCTGGGGTTTAATTGTTTCTTGGTATTCTCAATAAGCCACACCAACAACGGTGCTACAGCAGCAGCAGCAGCTGACAGTGCTCAGCAGCAGCAGCAGCAGCTGTACCACCAATAGTAGCGATGGTTGATTGGGGTTTATTATACAACCTGGCCAGCTCGGAGACATGCACTCCACTTTCATACTTATCAATGATCTTTTTCTTCATCTCTATTGTAATTCTCACCCTTATTGCTGTAGGGTTGGCACTAGAAGCTTTCTTGGGGCCCATGGTCACTTATTTTCCAGAAAAAGCACCGAAAACACTGTAATAATACGAAATATTCCGATTGTATGCTTGGATGTTACCGCGGAGGCTGGCTGGTAAACAATGCCACCGGCGGAACATGTGAGCGCGTCTCGGAAGAAAATCGGTAAGCGGGTTTTTAAGCGGTATGTGAGGCAAAATTTTTGCAATTAAAGTAAGCGGTATGCGAAATAATCGCTATGTGATGCCATCGTTATGCGGGGGTCCACTGTATTCCTAGAAGCCCAGCGAAAGTATAAACTGTAAATACAGTAGTATAAAGTAAGGTTTACTTTGAGAGACCTTATCCTTGTATTATAGTGTATTGCAGTATTATTAACATTCATAAAAAAAGAAAAGACTAAAATGAAGATATGGGCATGGGAAAGCAGTGGAGTCAGAAGAATGTTGCATAATTGAATCTATTCACTGGTTGCTCTTTTCTAATCGCATAAATGCTGCTATTACTTTAGACTGAACTGCATTAAAAATAATGTAGGTCTACAACACACAACTCTTCTTTTAAAAGGCAGATTATATAATATTCTTGAAAAGTCATCTTAACATACCTTTCAAGCTCCTGATACATTTCTTCTCATCACCCTTAGCCCCCATCCTCTTCCCATCTCCACAGCTACAGCATTAAGCCTTAAAATAAGTTAGTCAATTGCAGAATTGACATGTGTAAAAACTTGTATAATTAATCTAAGCTCTTCTAGATTTCAGATTACATTTATGAAAGTAAAAAAATAATTTTTTTCCCACTCAGCATTCCTGAGGACTGATCATCCCTTCTTGCTGCGCTTCCTAAGAGCTAAGAAATTTAGAGTGGGAGATGCATTCATTCTTCTTTGCCACTACTTTGAGTACAGACAACGTCACCGTGAATTATTTCGTGGATTAAATGTTGGAGGTGGAGTTGGCGACTCTGGTAGTGGTGAGACAGGAATACAGTCTGCACTATTAGATGGTTTACCAGGGGTGCTAGCAGAAAGAGATCCATGCGGAAGACCTATTATTGTCCTCTTGGCTAGCAACTGGGATCATTCCAGGTAAGAAAAATTTAAAAATTATTAATCTTGCATATCATAAACTGAAATGTACTTGGAAAATCTAGATACAATAGTCCTTCATTTTGTGGATTCACTAGGCTGTATGCAAATTTGCTTTTATGCTGTCCAATTTCTAGCATTAATTGCCTACATCCTACATGAATTTGCCCTGAGAGATAAATGGGTATCCAAATATAATGAAGTATTAGTTGATCTGATTGTGATTGCCACAGCAGCCATGGACCTGTAATGCATCTACATCATAAAGCAAGAGAAATTTGTATGCCTTTCTGTATTAGTTCCTAAACTGTTGAGGTTTATCTAGCATAAGCTAGGAGGCTTACTCCTGTATTATGTTCTTGACTGACCTGTATGGCATGATCTGATCCACTTTAGTCTCTACAAAAATAGATAATCTTGATTGTGCTTGGTTAATAGCAGCATTAAGTTTAAAAATCAGTAGCTAGAGATCTGAGCCCACACCTATTTATTGAAATTATGGTCTTTTCCTTAACTGTTGAATTTCTAGGAACTCCATTCAGAGTAACCACTAATAAAGTAAGACTCCATTTACACGCTTGGGCAGCAAAACCTAACCAAGCAATTATAGACTCAATTCCAAGATATAAGCACTGTATAATACTTTAGATTTAGTAAGGCATAATGTATTTTAAATCATTTTTCTTTTAACACGTTGGCTATTTCCCATTAAGGAAGGGCGACCTGAAAAAGAAAACATTGTCATGACAGAAGAATACCATCGCCACAGCTTGGATAACCCTCTGAACTGCAACATCCACACCCTTCCTCCAGAGTGCAGGCACTATACTTCCCACCTCCAGGACTCTGTCCGACAAACAGTTCCCCTGAATACCTTCATTAATGATACCTAGTAATCTCTTTCCTGTACTGTCTAAGAAATACCATAGCAAAAAGATGCTCAACAATAATGAAACTAAATAATCAAAGCAACAGATTTCATGGTTTTTATGACTTGATGTATTGTTGGAGTGTGAGCAAGTTAACATTTATGAAGGGATTAAAGGAAACCAGATACCCAGACTTGAGTCATGGAGGTGGGAAGTACAGTGCCTGCACTCTAAAGGAGGGGTGGACATATTAAAAAAGATCTGGAAAACACTCGTATATTGGGTTCTAACAAAGTGACTAAAAACAAAAAAAAAAAAAATTATACTAAATAATCCTGATGAAGCGTTACTCTACTTTGCTTCGCCTGTGGTATGCGGATAGGGATCTACAACAGTAAATCTAAAATCGGTCATAACCCAGCAAAAATCTGCAATTAGAACCACTCAGTTTGACTAGACAACACCTCCCTTACCTACACTGTTCAAAGATTTGAACCTACTTAATGTTTTGCATATTACATATACAGTGGTAGTAGGTTGGTAGACAGCAACCACCCAGGGAGGTACTACCGTCCTGCCAAGTGAATGTTAAAACAAAAGCCTGTAATTGTTTTACATGATGGTAGGATTGCTGGTGTCTTTCGTCTGTCTCATAAATATGCAAGATTACAGGTATGTCTTGCTACTTCTACTTACATTTAGGTCACACTACACATACATGTACACGTTTATTTATACACACTCATCTGAGTTTTCTTTTATTTTATCTTAATAGTTCTTGGTCTTATTACTTTTCCTTTTATATCCATGGGGAAGTGGAATAAGAATCTTACCTCCGTAAGTCATGCGTGTTGTAAAAGTCAACTAAAATGCCGGGAACAATGGGCTAGTAACCCCTTTTCCTGTAAAGATTACTAAAAAGAATAAGAAGAAGAAATTTGTCAAAGTGGGAAGTCTGTGTGTGGATGTTGTGCAAATGATAAGAAAGAGATGATTGTGGATGTTATGAATGAGAAGCTGGATGTCCTGGCTTTAAGTGAAACGAAGCTGAAGGGGGTGGGAGAGTTTCAATGGAGAGGAATAAATGGGATTAGGTCAGGGGTTTCAAATAGAGTTAGAGCTAAAGAAGGAGTAGCAATAATGTTGAAGGATAAGCTATGGCAGGAAAAGAGGGACTATAAATGTATTAATTCAAGGATTATGTGGAGTAAAATAAAGATTGGATGTGAAAAGTGGGTTATAGTAAGCGTGTATGCACCTGGAGAAGAAAGAAGTGTAGAGGAGAGAGAGAGATTTTGGGAAATGTTGAGTGAATGCGTGGGGAGCTTTGAATCAAGTGTGAGAGTAATGGTGGTTGGGGATTTCAATGCTAAAGTGGGTAAAAATGTTATGGAGGGAGTAGTAGGTAAATTTGGGGTGCCAGGGGTAAATGTAAATGGGGAGCCTTTAATTGAGCTATGTGTAGAAAGAGATTTGGTAATAAGTAATACATTTTTTTTTTTTTTTCAACAAGTCGGCCGTCTCCCACCGAGGCAGGGTGACCCAAAAAAGAAAGAAAATCCCCAAAAAGAAAATACTTTCATCATCATTCAACACTTTCACCACACTCGCACATTATCACTGTTTTTGCAGAGGTGCTCAGAATACAACAGTCTAGAAGCATACACATATAAAGATACACAACATATCCCTCCAAACTGCCAATATCCCAAACCCCTACTTTAAAGTGCAGGCAGTGTACTTCCCATTTCCAGGACTCAAGTCCGACTATATGAAAATAACATATTTTATGAAAAAGAGGATAAATAAATATACAAGGTATGATGTAGCATGTAATGAAAGTAGTTTGTTAGATTATGTATTGGTGGATAAAAGGTTGATGGGTAGGCTCCAGGATGTACATGTTTATAGAGGGGCAACTGATATATCGGATCATTATTTAGTTGTAGCTACAGTTTGAGTAAGAGGTAGATGGGAAAAGAGGAAGGTGGCAACAAGAAGTAAGAGGGAGGTGAAAGTGTATAAACTAAGGGAGGAGGAAGTTCGGGGGAGATATAAGCGACTGTTGGAAGAAAGGTGGGCTAGTGCAAAGATGAGTAGTGGGGGGGTTGAAGAGGGTTGGAATAGTTTTAAAAATGCAGTATTAGAATGTGGGGCAGAAGTTTGTGGTTATAGGAGGGTGGGGGCAGGTGGAAAGAGGAGTGATTGGTGGAATGATGAAGTAAAGGGTGTGATAAAAGAGAAAAAGTTAGCTTATGAGAGGTTTTTACAAAGCAGAAGTGTTATAAGAAAAGCAGAGTACAGTGGACCCCCGGTTAACGATATTTTTTCACTCCAGAAGTATGTTCAGGTGCCAGTACTGACCGAATTTGTTCCCATAAGGAATATTGTGAAGTAGATTAGTCCATTTCAGACCCCCAAACATACACGTACAAACGCACTTACATAAATACACTTACATAATTGGTCGCATTCGGAGGTGATCGTTACGCGGGGGTCCACTGTATATGGAGAGTAAAAGAAAGGTGAAGAGAGTGGTGAGAGAGTGCAAAAGGAGAGCAGATGATAGAGTGGGAGAGGCACTCTCAAGAAATTTTAATGAAAATAAGAAAAAATTTTTGAGTGAGTTAAACAAGTTAAGAAAGCCTAGGGAAAGTATGGATTTGTCAGTTAAAAACAGAGTAGGGGAGTTAGTAGATGGGGAGAGGGAGGTATTAGGTAAATGGCGAGAATATTTTGAGGAGCTTTTAAATGTTGAGGAAGAAAGGGAGGCGGTAATTTCATGTACTGGTCAGGGAGGTATACCATCTTTTAGGAGTGAAGAAGAGCAGAATGTAAGTGTGGGGGAGGTACGTGAGGCATTACGTAGAATGAAAGGGGGTAAAGCAGCTGGAACTAATGGGATCATGACAGAAATGTTAAAAGCAGGGGGATATAGTGTTGGAGTGGTTGGTACTTTTGTTTAGTAAATGTATGAAAGAGGGGAAGGTACCTAGGGATTGGCGGAGAGCATGTATAGTCCCTTTATATAAAGGGAAAGGGGACAAAAGAGATTGTAAAAATTATAGAGGAATAAGTTTGAGTACCTGGAGTTTACCTGGAGAGAGTTCCGGGGGTCAACGCCCCCGCGGCCCGGTCTGTGACCAGGCCTCCTGGTGGATCAGAGCCTGATCAACCAGGCTGTTGCTGCTGGCTGCACGCAAACCAACGTACGAGCCACAGCCCGGCTGATCAGGAACTGACTTTAGGTGCTTGTCCAGTGCCAGCTTGAAGACTGCCAGGGGTCTGTTGGTAATCCCCCTTATGTGTGCTGGGAGGCAGTTGAACAGTCTCGGGCCCCTGACACTTATTGTATGGTCTCTTAACGTGCTAGTTACACCCCTGCTTTTCATTGGGGGGATGGTACATCGTCTGCCAAGTCTTTTGCTTTCGTAGTGAGTGATTTTCGTGTGCAAGTTCGGTACTAGTCCCTCTAGGATTTTCCAGGTGTATATAATCATGTATCTCTCCCTCCTGCGTTCCAGGGAATACAGGTTTAGGAACCTCAAGCGCTCCCAGTAATTGAGGTGTTTTATCTCCGTTATGCGCGCCATGAAAGTTCTCTGTACATTTTCTAGGTCGGCGATTTCACCTGCCTTGAAAGGTGCTGTTAGTGTGCAGCAATATTCCAGCCTAGATAGAGCAAGTGACCTGAAGAGTGTCATCATGGGCTTGGCCTCCCTAGTTTTGAAGGTTCTCATTATCCATCCTGTCATTTTTCTAGCAGATGTGATTGATACAATGTTATGGTCCTTGAAGGTGAGATCCTCCGACATGATCACTCCCAGGTCTTTGACGTTGGTGTTTCGCTCTATTTTGTGGCCAGAATATGTGTACGGTAGGGTTATAATTGAAAGAATTAGAGGTAAGACAGAATGTAGGATTGCGGATGAGCAAGGAGGTTTCAGAGTGGGTAGGGGATGTGTAGATCAAGTGTTTACATTGAAGCATATATGTGAACAGTATTTAGATAAAGGTAGGGAAGTTTTTATTGCATTTATGGATTTAGAAAAGGCATATGATAGTGGATAGGGGAGCAATGTGGCAGATGTTGCAAGTATATGGAATAGGTGGTAAGTTACTAAATGCTGTAAAGAGTTTTTATGAGGATAGTGAGGCTCAGGTTAGGGTGTGTAGAAGAGAAGGAGACTACTTCCCAGTAAAAGTAGGTCTTAGACAGGGATGTGTAATGTCATCATGGTTGTTTAATATATTTATAGATGGGGTTGTAAAGGAAGTAAATGCTAGGGTGTTCGGGAGAGGGGTGGGATTAAATTATGGGGAATCAAATTCAAAATGGGAATTAACACAGTTACTTTTTGCTGATGATACTGTGCTTATGGGAGATTCTAAAGAAAAATTGCAAAGGTTAGTGGATGAGTTTGGGAATGTGTGTAAAGGTAGAAAGTTGAAAGTGAACATAGAAAAGAGTAAGGTGATGAGGGTATCAAATGATTTAGATAAAGAAAAATTGGATATCAAATTGGGGAGGAGGAGTATGGAAGAAGTGAATGTTTTCAGATACTTGGGAGTTGACGTGTCGGCGGATGGATTTATGAAGGATGAGGTTAATCATAGAATTGATGAGGAAAAAAGGTGAGTGGTGCATTGAGGTATATGTGGAGTCAAAAAACGTTATCTATGGAGGCAAAGAAGGGAATGTATGAAAGTATAGTAGTACCAACACTCTTATATGGGTGTGAAGCTTGGGTGGTAAATGCAGCAGCGAGGAGAACGGTTGGAGGCAGTGGAGATGTCCTGTCTAAGGGCAATGTGTGGTGTAAATATTATGCAGAAAATTCGGAGTGTGGAAATTAGGAAAACGTGTGGAGTTAATAAAAGTATTAGTCAGAGGGCAGAAGAGGGGTTGTTGAGGTGGTTTGGTCATTTAGAGAGAATGGATCAAAGTAGAATGACATGGAAAGCATATAAATCTATAGGGGAAGGAAGGCGAGGTAGGGGTCGTCCTCGAAAGGGTTGGAGAGAGGGGGTAAAGGAGGTTTTGTGGGCAAGGGGCTTGGACTTCCAGCAAGCGTGTGTAAGCGTGTTAGATAGGAGTGAATGGAGACGAATGGTACTTGGGACCTGACGATCTGTTGGAGTGTGAGCAGGGTAATATTTAGTGAAGGGATTCAGGGGAAACCGGTTATTTTCATATAGTCGGACTTGAGTCCTGGAAATGGGAAGTACAATGCCTGCACTTTAAAGGAGGAGTTTGGGATATTGGCAGTTTGGAGGGATATGTTGTGTATCTTTATATGTATATGCTTCTAAGCTGTTGTATTCTGAGCACCTCTGCAAAAACAGTGATAATGTGCGAGTGTGGTGAAAGTGTTGAATGATGATGAAAGCATTTTCTTTTTGGGGATTTTCTTTCTTTTTTTTGGGTCACCCTGCCTCGGTGGGAGACGGCCGACTTGTTGGGGAAAAAAAAAAATATACAGAACACTTAATTCCAATAATAACCTTGAGCTGAAACAGTTTCTCTAGAGCTACAGTAGATTGCATAAGTTTAACACTGGAAATAAATATCTGATATTCCATGTGTACTACTCATCCTGAGCAAACACTTCATATAAATCAAAGGGCTCAAAATTTGGAACACCCCACCTGAAGGATAAAAAAAAAAAAAACAATAGGTTCAAAAATATCAAAAACCTTCTGAAATTTGATGTAATATTTAATATGTAACAGTTATCAACATTTACTGTGTTGCAGTATTTGTTCCTTACATTACTAACCTATGTATACTCTGTATTTAATGTGTATATTGAAATATCTTCCAGTTAAATTAATTTTAATATATCTGCTGCACAAGTTATCCATCTGGTCATATATTGTCTTTTGTATTTAGGAATAGACATTTTTACACTGTTGTAGTTTTAGAGATGGTTGTGTACACAATACCAGAACAATACTTGTCCTGGTTCCCTCACATTGCTACACCCGCCAACAGTACTGCTAAGAAGTTTTCTCTTAAAATATTTTGCTTGTTTGTTACTGCAGCTTTGTCTTCAACAATGTCACACTGTTAGACTGCAGCAGCATTAAACATATCACATCTTTTAGCACTATGACCTATTTAGATTTAACACTTTTTTGTGAGTATAATAGTAATTTAGAAATATCTTGCCTGCTTTTTTTTTACTTTAGCAGTGCCCTCAAATCTGCTGAAGCTCCTTCTACTGAGAGTCTGAGGAAAAACTATTGGAATATATTACATACCCTAACAACATTAGAACATATTTTGTTTATTAGTTTTCTAAAAATGTATAATTTCTCTTAGATATGATGTACGCACTGTATATCAGGCTGTCTTGCTAACGTTAGAACGTCTAGTAGAAGATGAAGCTGTTCAAGCAGCAGGTGTAGTAGCAATTCTTGATTGGTCAAATTTTCCAGCACGCCTCACCACTAGTTTGACACCAAAACTCCTCAGACTCATGCTTGATGGACTTCAGGTATGTAAAGGATTAAAATAAGTTATATTCTGTGCGATACTGTTACATTGATAGGGATCCAATGAATTTAACTTTTTGACTACTTTTGCATTCCTGATCAAGATGATTGTAGTTGCTTGTGAACATTGTTGCATCTCAATACACGTTGATACATTATATCCACAGTCTTTAAAAAGATACACGATTTAATTAGTTAGCTGCAGTATTTTTCATTCTAATAAAGGCTGGAGTACAATAAATAATGACAGGAGGAAGAATACAATATACAAAGAGATATTTAATTCACTTGTTTGTCCAATTAGTGGGACTTTTTTCTGTTTGTTCTTCAAATTTGTAAACAGATATGTTAAATGTATGGTCTCTGTTCCACTTAACATAATCCATGACAAATGTCCGCTATTTAATTAACAATTTATTGAGTTGTTTTGTATGCTTTGCCTCTTAGTCTTAAACTGTGCAAGTATAGCATCTTTAAAGTACTGTATACAGTATAGTACTTAATTTCATTTATACATCTTTCGAATGGTTTATTTACTCACCACTATCACCACACCTTTCTCACATCTTCATTATCTTACACCAAAAAATCCTCTTTGTGTCTTCAATAATTTCAATAATTTCTGTGCAGTTTATTAAAATATACAAATTTCAAAGCTGTATTCATGAAATTTATTGCCATCTGTGATGGAACATTTTTTAACACACCAGCTGTCTCCCACCAAGGCAGGGTGACCCAAAAAAGAAGAAACACTCATAAAAATTTTCTTTTTATATATAGTAATTTATACAGGAAAAGGGGTTACTAGTCCCTTGCTCCCAACATTTTAGTCACCTCTTGTGGCACAAATGAAGAGGCGGGGCCAGGAGCTATGACTCGACCCCTGCAACCACAAATAGGTGAGTACAAATAGGTGAGTACATGGCTTACATTGGAAGGACTCTTCTCCATTTTTTCATGAACTCTTCTTTTTATTGTTCCAAAATTTATGCAGCCTCATGGTCAGTCTTAACTTGCTCCATTCTTTCTAAATATCCAGACCATCTCTACTCCCTCTTGCTTCCTGAATTGAACTTTTCATACCACAAATTTGTATAAAAGTGAAGCAAGGACTATGAATGCTGCAATAAGGAAGTTTGAGGCATTAAGAATGCACTTAAGATCAATGTTTGATGTAAAATACTGTACGGTATTCTTTATTATCTACCTCAACAAATATGACTACAAACCTGATCGTTCACCTTACATATGCTATTAATAGTAAATAATTATTTTATTACAGTAATAATGATAATTATCTTTCACAGGATGCATTTCCTTTACGCTTGGGTGCCTTGCACATGGTCAACCAGCCATGGTATGTGGAAGCAGCACTGGGTCTTGCTCGACCTTTCCTAAAAGACAAACTTCGCTCTCGGGTCAGTTCACTGAAAATATTAAGCTAACGTGTATTGTTCAACAGTTAGTCATCTTTATTCTAAATAGATACCTGACTATTGCACATCTTATTTATCTTCTTGTTGGTATTGTATGTTATTACATTAACATGTACTATCAAGGTACCTTGAGCACACTTACCTTTCACATTGTATCACATACACCATTTCTTTTTTTTTTTTTTACAAGAAAATTGTTACATTTGACATTTTAAATTGTATTTTACTTGACTATTGTAAAAGTTAACCCTTTGGCTGCCGCAACCCCCAATCCTGAGGTGTCTCCTGGTGTTGCAAATTTAAAAAAAAAAAATATATATTTTTTCTTATGAAATGATAGAGAATCTTTTCCCGATTGTAATGATACCAAAAAAAAACTAAATTTGATTGAAAACTGACGGAATTATGCTCTCGCGAAGTTAGCGACGGCAGTGATATTTACAAATCGGCGACTTCGCCCACTTTGAGCCCTATTTTCGGCTAATTCCACTGTTCCGGTCGACCAAACTCATAGCTATTTCTTTAGAACTCCATTTTTTTCTATCAATTGAGTGCAAGAAACTGCCCATTTACCAATTTCAACTACCCAATAACGTGGTCAGAAATTTGCAATTTGGTCAATTTCACAAAAATTAAAAAATATGACAATTTCAAAATAAGGTCCAGAATGAACAATGCAGACATTCCTGGCTCTAAAACAACATTTTCTTTGTTCATCAGTCACGTCTCCAGGCCCCTCTGATATTACTCTTGCTTTCTATTTTGAATTTTTATTCAAACCAAAAATAGAAGATTTACTGTTATGCAGACTACTGCAATATTGTAATAGTTGTACAAATAATGTCAACCCATTCATGATTGCATATTAGAATGGCTAGTTGGACATTTATTGGACAATGACATCATCTGTTTACTTTTGAAAATCGGCAAAATCAAACATTTCCCCTACTTGAACTCCATTTCCAGGATTTTTTTTATAGTAAAACCAACCAAAATCACATCTATTTCTATAATATGTTTTCCATTCTATCAAATGAGACCAATAAAACGAGAATATAACCATAAATACTATACGAAAATAGACCACAAAGTCGGCATTTTAATTAAAAAAAAAAAAAAGTCGGAGTTCTTTTTTCTCATTATGCACTGCGTGCTCCAGTATTTTTTTATGTGGTGCACACTGACCACACAGACCCATTCTCTCTCATGTGGGCCTACCAGCTTTCTCCTGCTTGATTTGAAGCCGCTAGAATTTATGAGCATATATACGTCAAACACGGTACCTCCTAAGATGTATATATACGACCAAAACAGTCAAAGGGTTAAGTGTGCTGCCAGTTTCAGTCCAGAATGTTCCATGTATATATTAGTCAGTGAAATTACTGTATCAAACTAAATAGTACTTATACTCTCATCTAATGTAAAAATAGCACCTATAAATTTACTAGACTATAATCCAACTAATTTTTTCTTATGTAAAATTATATGCCCTTGTAGTCTTAGGCTTAAGGTTTCCCAAAATGGTCTTCATAACCATGGGCTCTCAACATGCACTCGAGTGTCTCCCATTTCAGTGTAAACAATGTATCGTGATGAAATAAACGTATAAAAATAGATATAACATTAATGCATTCCAGAAAATTATTAGTGTTCAGAGCTCTGAAACTATTTTTTCCTACACCTGTGTTAGTGGAGAACAAGTTTGGTGATACCAGCAGTATGTAGATACACGTATGCACAGTTAGACATCTGTTGAGGAAACATTTCACCGTGAGTAAAACATTTCCTCGTTAAATGTCTTGAATTCTTTCTTTCTTTCAACACACCGGCCGTATCCCACCAAGGCAGGGTGGCCCAAAAAGAAAAACAAAAGTTTCTCTTTAAAAATTTAGTAATTTATACGGGAGAAGGGGTTACTAGCCCCTTGCTCCCTAAATGTCTTGAATTGTGCATCTTTATTTGCTCCCATATCATAATTAACAGTGCATTTTCCAGAGCTATAATATTACGTGTATATACCTAATTTCATGTACACTTTTACTAAGGATATTGACCAATACTTTACATTCCCTACTGTTCCCTTCACTTGCAAATAACATTAAATATGGTTTAATGGTTGTAGGTCAGTTTGACAGATGAGAGCTATAATACAGTACATGTGTAGGGGTGGACAGCAGCTGGTACGTCTTACTCTCCTATTCACTCCCACCCTCTTGCATCATACCTGACACAGTACATTTTCCATACACTCACTGTTGTGGTGAGGGTATAACGTGCCTGCATAGTGTGAGACAGTAGTGGTTGAGTATAATAGTGTGAGACAAAGTTGACCTCCCCATCCTGCATCTTGCCCACTAACATGTTCAGCCTGTGAGTAGCACTGATAACTATCACATCCTAACAGAACAATGTAATTCTTTAATCTGCAGTTCTTAACCAATCTGTACTAAAATATTACTTCACATTGCATTAAATGAACATAAACATATCAATGCATTAGGTTAAAAAAAAAAAAGTGAAAAATTCATAACTTGCTGCTAGATGAACAAGGACAGGTGTGAAGAAACATGCTCAGTGTTTCCACATGCTGGGGATTGAACTATGGACACTGTGTGTGAGGCAAGAGTGTTTCTAACCCACCTACTGGACCTTCAATGTATTGGATTTCTTTTATGCATCAGAGACGAAACTACACTAATACTTTCATTTTCACAGGTCAGACAACAGGTAGCCTTGGTCAGGCACTGTTTTGTTCTAATCCTCCCTTAAGTTGTTTTATGTTAGGGTCAACTAGGTTAGGTTAAATTATCCTAAATATAGGTTCTGTATTGCAGTTAACTAGGAGCATAAGTCAGTGTGATTGCATTATTATAATAATAATAATGAACAACTTATGCCCTAAACCCCCAAGAACATGGCTGCAAATGCCTTCTTCCCTTGGTTTGTTTACTGTACAGCTGCAGTGTCTCCAGATTAGTTCTCTTCCCAACCTCAAGACTAACCAATGTTTTATTTTTCCTTTTGATTTATTATGAAAAGCCAATCATTCACAATTTATGGTATTGGGAAGTGCTGAAGGTATAATTATGTAGGAGAGAGGGTGAGGCAGAGACAGATTGAGGGAAAAGTTAGGCTAGTATGCCTATTGTAATGCCCTTTATGTAATGATCAGGTGAGTAGGACCTGCATAACATGAGCCAATAGATCTACTGCAGTGCTTGTTTTTTCTTACTTTTATGAACTTGTTCAAAAACTTCTTGTGCATAAAAGGCCCAAAGATCTGGAATTCATTACCTGAAACATCAATTATTATAATAATCAAGGGGAAGAGCTAAACCCATAGGATTATACAGTGCCTGAGGGGATATGTGGAAGGTATTCAGGTTTAATTCAGGGAACTGGAGAACAGATCCAATTCCCTACATCATGATTATCATTATTATAATCAAAAAGAAGCTCTTAAGCCACAAGGGCTATACAGCACCCCTACATCATGAGCCCCTTACCAGCACCAAGGAATCTTCCTTGAGGGATATGAAACATCAAAAGGTACTCAACTGCCAATCGGTTCAGATCTATTGTTAGTACAATAAAAAAAGAGGCACTAAACCACAAGGGTCATACAGTGCATCTATTGTTAAAAAGCACCTCATCTCCCTAACAATACTCAGTGTCAGACAAAATCAGCTCATCCAGCTCTGTCCCTGTTCTCTTCCAATCTTCCTCCAACTCCCATATTATTATTATTATAATCAAAAAGAAGCGCTAAGCCACAAGGACTATACAGCTCCAACTCCCATAGAAAATTGATTACTCATCATATCCATTTTCTTTCCACTGTAACTTCCTATATCTTCTTCTTTATTCAATTGCTCCACAAAACTGAAGATCATTGAATCAGTTTGAAATAATGTCATACTTTTAAAATTTTACTATTTGTTCATTAGCTACCTTTCTTATTGTTCATATAATAAATCCTACTTAATACTGTATGTTTTCCCAAAATGTATTCCATACTAGTGGCTTTTTGCGCCTGACAGTTTTACTACATGTAAAGTAAATTATTCTTGTACCACAATTTTTTTTTTTAATCTGGGGTTTGGGCTGACTGTTTGTTATTGTCTTGTGCATTTTGAAATTTTCAGTTTCTTTTTATGTTTTCATTATTTTTTTTATACCATCTAGAATAATTTTGCATCAGAACCATTTAACCTTTTAAGTACCTCAAAAACCAGGTGAAACTTGTTACTACAGTCAGAGCAAAGCATTAAACCCACAGGGGTCATACAGCAAGCTGAAACTTGTACAATTTTTTTTTTTTTTTTTTTTTCCAAAATGCCAGGAGTCAACCTGTGCAGTTTGATTATATTGTAGCATGTGCAGTTTATTATTTTTTACAGTTCCTGCTTTTGCAGACATCTAGGAATGTAATCGCCTGTAAATTTGTAGGAACTGTACTGTATATGGTAAACTAATTAGTTTCATTTGTGGCACAATATCGGGCCGTTTGTGATTGACTATTTTTTGTAAATTTAATATTTTTCTTGTTTTACAGATACATGCACATGGAAACAATCTAGCTACATTACATAATCAAGTACCACCAAGACTTCTGCCTGCTGAACTAGGTGGTGAAGGTGGAGAATATCACGCACATACCTGGGCTGCTACCATGCTCAACTATATACCAAAGCAAACCCAGCAGACTGATGATAGTGCTGTGCATAATTCCAGCTGTACAAAACCTACCAAAGTACAGACATCCATTGATAAATCAGTTTCTCTCTCTTCTTTGAAGTCTCCCAATGAAACATCTTCACTCAATGAATCAACAACAACAGCAAATACTACTATCACAGCTTCGCAGAGCACTCCACTGGTGAACAAAATGACCACTACCACCCGGACATCAGCCAGTTTTGCTTCAATGCTTTTTGGGAACAGTGACTCTGATAATACTACCAATGGGAATATTAGTGAAGGAGAAGATGTAGCACTGAAAGCTCACTAGTGTCTAACCAATGGTGAGCTGGTAATGAGCTTACTAAACACGCAACATCATTAAAGCAGTGTTGTAGCGTAAGTATGTTCATACTTCAAGTGCAGTGCCTGTGCCCCTTCCAGTATGTTTGATAGAACATTTTTTATGAGCATAAGCCTGTGTGGGTCATTCAGCATGGTGACAAATAAATTTCTCTATTTATTACCATGCACTTTGACAATATACGTTTTAAAGTAATGTGCTGATTTTGTAGCCAGGTTTAGAATTTTATTTATGCTGTAATGATTAATATAAAAAAAATAAAGGATGTTTTACCAATGATAATTACATAGTGCTGTTTATCTGGAGAGGGTTTCGGGGGTCAGCGCCCCCGCGGCCCGTTCTGAGACCAGGCTGTGCTACCATACTATATATAAAATGCACTGAAGTGACTATAATAGGCCTTAGTCAGGGCCATACAAGTACTGTGTTAGCACACTATACAGTATCTAAAAAATAGTTAATCTGTAAATTTCCTGACATTTCATACAGGCTTTGAATTTTTCTTAAGTAAGCAGTCATGAAGTGATGAAACTAATTGATCTGCAGTGTAAAAAATAAATGTAACAGTGTTATTGCTTCATAATTCTTCAAAGTAGCCAATACAAAATTTGTAGTGTTTTGTGACTTTTCAAAACCACAGCTGTCATCTTTGTCTTCCCTTCATATGAAGCCTTTGCTGCTGCTTACAAGGCTACCCAAAATTAGGTTAAAGTGAATGATTTTACTTATTAATGTTTTAATCTGGGAATTGTCAAAGTTCAGCACTTCTAGACAGTACATCTAGTATTCTAGACAAATAACTGGCTAATTTGACAGTCACCAAAACTGGTGAAGTATGAAAAGCCTACCATGTATCATCAGTCCTCACTTGGTTAAAGTGCAGTACAGTAAACATTATGCTCTTATAGATATGTTGGCAATATTAAAAAAAAAAAAATTGGGAACAGCTTTAACTTTTAATTCCTTACAGGTAATGGCTCAGTGTAGTAACTTTTACCCTGTGACTATTATATTTTGGCTACACCTACTATCATACCATTTAATGGGCTGCTTAATTTTCTCCACCTAAATGTTGCTTTGCCCTTTCTCCTTTCTATATATAAATTCATGTTCTTCAGTGTAAGTAATGACTGCTTCACTTGTATGATAGTCATGTAGAACCTTAAATGTTTTGATAGTTCCTTCCATTTTTTGTTTTAACACTTTGATGAAAACTTGGAATGTCAGAGGAAGATTCCCTACCTAGAATTACGTATCTGTTTTTCTAAATTCGAAGCCAAAGACTAGTCAAGTTTAAGATTAAAAGTAATTGTTAGATAGCTTAGTGCTTGGCTATGCCCATTAACATTAGTCTGCATTATTATTAAATTTAGCATAGTAATACAGATTGAAAAAGTATGGGGAGCAAATGGACTGACAGTTAATAATAGGAGGAGAGAGAGATGTTGGGTGGGAAGGTAGAGGTATTGGGAGGATGGAGGGAATAGCTTGAAGAGCTGTTAAATGTCGTTGAAGAAAGGGAGGCAGTGATTTCAAGCATTGGGCAGGAAGAAGTAACATCTTAAAGGTAAGGAGGATCCAGATGTGAGCAGGAAAAGTGCATGAAGAATGAAAGTAAAGAAGTTGAGACAAATGGGATTATGAAGAGATGTTAAAAGCTACTAGAGATATAGCTTTGGAGCATTTGGTGTATATTATATGCATAAAAAAAAGTAACTTAGAATTGGCAGAGGGCATGGATAATTCTTATGTATAAAAGAAAAAGGGAATAGTGAGTATAAGAATTTTAGGAAAATAAGCCTTAAGTATACCCGGTAAATTGCATGGCAGATTGAGAACTGAGGTAAGATAAAGTAGGATTGCAGAGCATGGAGTTAGAAAGGGTAGGGGATGTGTAGACAATGTCGTGCTGAATAGGTAAGCTAGTCAATTAGCAAGAACTCTTTTAAAATTGTCCTTTCTAAAATTTTCTCTTATATTTAAAGATGTATTATTTTTCATTTATGTTAATGTAAAAATAAATAATTTTGTGCCAAAAGAACCTTAGAAAACTTGCTTAACCTTATTATAACAAACACGATTTAATTTAGCCTAATCCAACTACAGTGGTACCTCGGGATACAAACTTTTTCCATTCCAGAAGGCTGTTCAAGTGCTGATACCAAATGAATTTGTTCCCATAATAAATAATGTAAATTAGATTAATCTGTTTCAGACCCCCAAAAATACACTTGTATGATTGTTTGCATTTTGAGTTGTTCGTATCCCGAGGTGCCACTACTTTATTTTAAATACATTTACAATAAATTAATAATAAACAATAAAATATATTTTTTTTCCATTAGGTTCAGAAAGGTTTTTGCGAAATTATTGCATTTGTAAATTTTCTTTTGCCTTATTCGGCAAGAAGAGCGTTGCTATTTAAGCCACTCGCAAGTTTTACCTATTCGGCACAACATTTATATTAAAGCATACAAGAGAACAATACTTAAAGTTAAGGAACTGTCACATTCATGGATTTAGAAAAGATATATGATAGAGTTGTAGGTAGTAGGTTGGTAGACAGCAACCGCCCAGGGAGGTACTACCGTCCTGCCAAGTGAGTGTAAAACGAAAGCCTGTAATCGTTTTACATGATGGTAGGGTTGCTGGTGTCTTTTGTCTGTCTCATAAATATGCAAGATTACAGGTAAGTCTTGCTACTTCTACTTACACTTACGTCACACTACACATACATGTACAAGCATATATATACACACCCCTCTGGGTTTTCTTCTATTTTCTTTCTAATTCTTGTTCTTGTTTATTTCCTCTTATCTCCATGGGGAAGTGGAACAGAATTCTTCCTCTGTAAGCCATGCTTGTCGTAAGAGGCGACTAAAATGCCGGGAGCAAGGGGCTAGTAACCCCTTCTCCTGTATATATTACTAAATTTAAAAGGAGAAACTTCAGTTTTTTCTTTTGGGCCACCCCACCTCAGTGGGATACGGCTGGTACGTTGAAAGAAGAAGAAGAAGATATGATAGAGTACATTGAGAAGCAGTGTGGCCAATGTAAATGTATGAATAGGTAGTATGTTAAAAAAAAAAAAAAAATTGTGCAGATAGTAAGGCTCAGGTTAGGGTATGTAGGAGAGTGGGAGCTATTTCTCAGTAAAAGTAGGCCTCGGATGTCTAAATGTGTGATGTCCCCCATGATTTATGTACAGATGAGGTTGTTGCAGTTCAGTGCCCTCTAAATTGTGATGCCAGTGTCCTTCTAGGAGGACACTGATTGAATGAGTTGCAATGAACAATTTTTCTTATTTTTTTGAGAGGGGGTCACCCTATCTCAGTGGAAGATGGCTAGTGCATTTGAAAAAAAAAAAAAAAAAAAAAAAGATTGCAATAGAAGTGAATGCTAGGGTGTTGAGATGTGTGGGATTAAAAGATAGTGAATTTGATAAAAGAAAAAAGGGGGGGGGGAGTAGTTAATGATTGCTCTTTACTGATTACTGTTCTTTAGGATCTCTTTAAAGTTGCTGGAGGAATTTTGGGAGGTATGTAAAGGAAGAAAATTAAAAGAATGTAAGAAAGAGCAAGTTGATGAAAGTAACAAAAAAAAATACAGGTAATGAAAGATTGGATCCAGCTGTAGGGGGGAAATATGGAGGAAGTGAATGCATTTAGATATTTGGGAGTGGACATGTTGACAGAAGTGTCTTATGAAAGATGAGGTGAACTACAGAATAGATGAGGGAAAAGGAGAGGAAAAAAAGTGAAGTGTTGAGGCATGTGTGGAACAAAAATTTTCCAAGGCAAAATGGGAAATGGACCAGAGTATAGTGGTACCAACACTTGTATATGGTTGAAGCATTGGGTATTTTAAGTATTACAGCAAAGAGGAGGCTGGAGACAGTAGAAATATTATATTTGAGAGCAAAGTGTAACAAATATGTATAGAATTTGGAGCATAGAAATTAGGTGGAGCTGGGTTTAAAAAAAAAAAAAAATTCCGAGGGCTGAAGAAGGGTTGTCGAGTTCGGTCTGAACATTTAGGGAAAGGAGTGGAACAGGATGACAATATAAATCTGGGGTGGAATGGAGGAGAGGAAAGATTTGAACTAGGATGCGTGGTAAATAGGGTTTTAAGGGCCAGAGCATCCACCATCCCCACCCCTCTGAAGGAGTGAGGGTGCTACCGTTTTGAGGGATACTTTAACTGCACACTCCTGGATAGACAGCTATTGAATGAGTGATGGTGAATGTTTCCTTTATTTAGGTCACCCTACCTCCATAAAAAAACAGCCACTGTTAATAATAAAATTTGCAAAAATGAACACTCACCATATTAGGTATATTGTGAAGCCATAACAGTGCATCCTTGTCGGTAGATTCAATGATCAAATATTCTAAGTACGAATATACAGTACAAATATCCGTATAAACGACTTTTTTGAAAAACACAATGTTAATGCTTAACTATTGTATTGATTATAAGTGTGCTGAATTTTAAAATTATCTAATTTGCTTAAAGTGTAAATTGGCTTTACCTAAATATGAGGCTCCCTTCAGGCCAGGACAGTGCAAGTGACAAATAAGTAAAAAGTAAAAATTAGTTATTTCCGTGTTTCTAAATAGTAACTAACTAGTAAATCTATTCAAATTTTTGTCATCAATTTTACCATAGCACATTTACAATAGAAACTGAACACAAATGAAAATGTACATTGGGGAAGTAAACCCCTCATAATGTAGGAGTTGCATTCCAGGTGCTGCATGTTCCTACAAGTGTGGTGGTATGTTGTGTTCCCTCCCCTCCATGATGTAATAATAATGAGCATTGGCTTGTAACGTAAAATAAGCGTTAATAGTTACGTTCCCGAAAACACCAAAGTTACGAACACCCTCTTTTTTTTTTTTTTTTTTTTACTATTAAGTACTACAGTATAATTTGCTTTACATTGTTAGTTGGTACTCGAGGTATTGCAAGAGTGAGGATGATTAATGTGGATGTAGCTACTTGGTCAGCTGATGTACTCTCCAAAAACCTTTGAAATCAAGTACACGTGTTAATTTTTTAAACCATAGAGCACTGAACTTGCTCAGTTTTATAATACATAACTATCTTCTTATCTGAGCTCTAAGGGAAGCACCTTTCTGGGATTTTCAACCCAAACACCAAGTAACTTATCATACATAATTGTAATGATCCCTGAGATTCTTTTGAACGGTGACATTCTGCACTACTTAATCCCAGACACTCGCTGCTTCTCACTGTTCCTACTTTATGAAAAAGATTCATTCACACATTTCATGGGCAGTTTCCATTGCACATACACCACCACTAAGTATATGTAGCACTCTTTTTAAAGACCATCATAGATTCCCGCTTATTCTTAGCACCTCTCACATCAATAATATTCCTCTCAAGTGCCATAGTTGAGGCACTCAAAATAGGTCAATAAATATAGATCATGGTTAATGGGAGCTATTGGCAAAGGAAAGAAGTGTGAAGGGTAAACTTGTGAGCTAACAAGGAAAGTCGAAGTTGGTGTAAGATGGGTGTTTGCATTGAAGGTAGGGCTTTCTAAATGAAGAGCAGGCAGATTAAGATGCCAAAATATTGGTGGGCATTAAATGAAATGTGTGCGCTCTGATAAATTGTACAATCAAAATGTGTGACTTTGGACAAGACCTGACTAAGTTGCACAGAGGTGTGGGGTCTCTCTCCATGGGATAGTAGTCATGCATGATAAATACTCACTTGCATGAGAACAGCTCCCAAACGTAACAGTGGTGGAAAGAAATCAACCAACAACTCTTGTGGTTTGATCATTAACAGCTTGTTCTCTAACCGAACCAACAATGCTGCCATCAATCCCAAATTCTCATAGACGACTGGAAAATAGTTTGCCAGGGGCAGATCCTGCAAGTAGTAGACAGGGTCTGAGATATTCGCAGTGAGGCATATAATGCTCCTAGAATACAATAGTAGGTAGTGTGGGTTGCCAGTGGGAGAGGAAGAGTCGTGTAATATGGCCTGTAGTACTCAAATTTTACAATTTTATGAAAACTGTTATACCAGTATTTCATGCATCCAGTTTATTAAATTTACTGTACATTTCGGCATAAAGGCTCCTGTGCATTACTCAGTTTTCTGGTTTCACATTTTGAAAATGCATTAAAACCAAGAAACATGTAATAGTTTCAAATGCATTTACTGTGCATGAAGAATATATCAGTAAAATTAATAACTACATATTATAAAGGCACTTTTTTAACACCAGCCATCTCAACCAAAGCAGGGTGACCCAAAAACATTCAGCGTAGGATGACTAAATTAATACATAGCATTAGAAATCTTCCTTATGAAGAAAGATTGAAGACTCCTAAGTTACATTCACTTGTTAGACGAAGAATGAGGGGAGACCTGATCGAAGTGTATAAGTGGAAGATAGGTATTAATAAAGGGGATATTAATAAGGTCTTGAGGATCTCTCTCCAAGAGAGAACCCACAGTAATGGATTTAAATTAGATAAGTTTAGATTTAGAAAGGACATAGGAAAGTATTGGTTTGGAAATAGGGTAGTTGATGAGTGGAACAGTCTACCTAGTTGGGTTATTGAGGCTGGGACTTTGGGTAGTTTCAAATCTAGGTTGGATAAGTACATGAGTGGGAGGGGTTGGATTTGAGTGGGACTTTCACATCAGAGCTTATTTCTTGGGTGGCATTGAAAATTGGGTTGGGCATACCTGCCTAGTATGGGCCAGCAGGCCTCCTGCAGTGTTCCTCCTTTCTTATGTTCTTAAAAAAAGAACACTTCCACTATGCCTGTTTTGCCATAGGCATGCCGACTTTATTGCTCAGATGTCCCTCCAAACTGCAAATATCTCTACCTCTCCTCTGGGACTCAAGTCCAGCTAACTAGTTTTCCTGAATCCCTTCATAAATGTTACTTTGCTTACTCAAACAACATGTAAAGTCATAAAAACCACATGCTTCCACTAGCTCCTATCTGACATGCTCTCACACACGTCTGTTGGATGTTCAAGCCCCCTCACGTACAATCTCCTTTACCCCTCCCACCAGCCTTTCCTATGATGACCCCTATCCCTCCATGGCAGATTTATACACCCTCCAAATCATTCTATTTGCTCCATCCTCTCAATGTCCCAACTACCTCAATAACCTGTTTTTAGTCTTATGGACAGTACTTTTAGTAATTCTGCACCTAATACTCGTCTCCAAACTACGAATTCTCCACATAATATTCACACCACACATTGCCCTCGGACAATATCTATACTTCCTGTAGCTGCCTCCTCACTGTGGTGTTTAAAACCCATTCTTCATGCCTATGAGTGTTTGTACCAATATACTGTGGAATATTCCATTTTTGCCTCCATGGGGACCTGTCCTGGCAAACCTACCTGAACATGAACTTGCTTCCATGGTTACTGTAAATGCATTGTTTGTTCAGTAAAATTTAGTTCTTACAAACCTGGTCTTAATTGTCGAGACTGATGCATTACTGGTTTCTTCTCTGGCTAAGATAAAGGCTTTCAATCAGGCCTTGGGCATGATCACTCCTCATAATCAAGAATTTCTCTTAGCTAAGTAACGAGATCACTGTTTAATTTGGATCAAGCTGTTTGTCATCGAATTATTCTTCAGTAGGATGAAGGAGATGCTGGCTTTACATGATCCGAGGTTAAATTTTATTAGTTATTCACATCGTTTTGGTCTGGAAGGGAAGATTGCCTCATTATGATAAAGTACTAAACCCACAAGGGTTATACAGCATTGCCGTGTATTACTCTGCTAATATGCAATATAATGCCATTATCTTAAGACATTAAAGAGTGAGTTTATATGCCTTGTATGTTACTGTATTACAACAATCTGCTTCAGAATCTCCCAAATTTGGGAAATTATTTTAAAAATTGAATTTTATATCTGAATTCATAAAGTTAAGCACATATGATACATACTCGCTCATGGTGTGAACATACATTTTCAAGACAATATAGATAACTATTTCCCAAGAAGATACATAATTATTAAAGCAAGTTAAGTGCATACTGTATCCTACAAGAAGCCCATAGTTAAGCATAACATTTTGGGCAGTCTTGACCATTACTGTATTATATTTTTCTATCAATATTTATGTAAGCTTCCTTTTTTATGCAGACTAATGCATCTTGTATCGTTGAAATTATTTAAACATTCACTCAGCTGGTGGATGCATGTTTATAGTATATAAAAAAAATTTCTAGGCAATAAATTTTTTTTTACAAAATGCTAGTTTCTTTAATCCTTTGACTGTTTCAGGCCCCTCTGAAACTGTCATTCTATGTCGCTAAATATTCGAAAAAAAAAATTATTTTTTCTTATGAAAATGTTAGGAATATTTTTGCGAGCGTTTTAAGCCTAAAAAAAAAATTTTGCCATCAGTACTCACCGAGATATAGAGCCGCAAAGTTTGCAGAAAGTGACGTGCGTGCGGCGACTGCCGCCCACCCGTTATTCTTTTATTTACTCTAATTCAAAGGTTTCTTGCATTTTTCAATATTTTTTCTGTTCCAGGTAACTTATGTGGCCTGTGAGACCAATGTAAGGTGCATTGTTCAAATATACACTCATTGTTTACAACACAATAACAGAACAAACTTTATCACTATTAGTTTGTTTTTGTAAACAGTGTATACACAAACAATACAAAACAATGTTTATTACTATTGTTCCATAATATATATACATATGTACAGTCACTAAACACTTTCCTAGAACTGCTGCAGCTTGTGGAACTCTTTGAAACATGGGTATATGCAGAGGGGCACTTCACACTCCTCACGCATGAAACGAGCGTCTCTGCGCGTTTGTGGTATGCATACATACATAACACCTCTTCTGAGCATTTTTCTTGGCAGTAGTAGGAGGCAGTTGTATGGGGTAGTGATCACCAGGCCTGAAACGAGATGACGTGTGTGGGCGCTGGTTTATTGCAGGAGTTGCTCCTTGGTACTTTGCAATTATTTGTCTGATTACTGACAGGCAAAATTCACCATATTTTGGTGTTTTGTTGGTCTTCAACTTGTATATGTTATAAGCATTTAGCATAGATATCAACAAGATGGAAAAAAAGTTTTATATACCACTTATAACTTGCGTACACAGTCTGCAAACCCAATCTGCATGTCACATTTGTCCACTAAGCGCATATTGAGGTTGTAGTCCATGACAGCTGCAGGCTTCAGAATGGGTTCATTGGTCTCTGTTGTCCCTGCCACTGGGTACCATTTCGTTTCTGTGAACTGATGTCAGCAATGTGACATCACGTTTGTCATGCCACCGAAATGCCATGATATTGGCAGCAAAGGCTTGCACCTCACCTCTGCGAGTGCGAGCGTCGAACCTTGGCATATGTTTACGATTACGACGCACTGTGCCACACACGTCTGTCAAGTTCACTCGCAAGAAATCACTGAGTAAGGGGCGTGTACCAGTTATCAGTAAATAACATATGCCCCTTACCAAGATATGGTTCCATCATTGTTCGAACCACATCACCAGAGATACCCAATAACTTCATGGTATCTCTCAAAGTATTACTGCCAGTGTACACTGATATCCAAAACTAGACCACTTCTGCAATCTCACAGTACAAATAGCTTTATACCAAAGCATTTCCTCTTGCTTGGTATACATTGCTTGAATGAGAGTCTTCCTTTGAATAAAATCAAGGACTCATCAATAACAAACTTCCTGAAGGGATAAAAATACATGCAGCACTTTTGTTTCAGGTACATAAACACATTTCTGATCTTATATAACCTGTCGCTTCTGTCAGTCCTGGTTTTGTCTGAAAAGTATAACATACGCAACAGTATCAGGAAACGATTGACACCTATGTCACTAAAACCTGGAGTTGAAATCAGGCGTCCTGTTGCCCAGTATGTGGTGACAGTGTGCTTATACACAAGTGGCATAAGCATTATTGTGGCAAAAAACAGGTACATCTCTGCCACAGTTGTCTCCTTCCACTTGTGTAGCCGTGATTTTGGCGAGAGAATTGTATTTGCCATGGTGTAATCACAGTATGTGTGTTTCCCTGACAACGATGTCCATCAGGGGTTCATCGAAGAATAACTCAAAGCAGTCCAGTTCACTGGCATTGTTCCCAAGTGGACAAGATGGCTTTATCCCACTTTGTCTTTCATCAAAGTCATGGGGACTGGGAACAAACTCGTCACCGTCCTGCCAATCCCAGATGCGGTCTGCTGGTGGGGTCTGGATATTGTACCGTGGTTGTGGTTGTGCAGGTTGTGGGAGTGTGGGGTAGGGCGAGGCTGGTTGTTGTGCAGAGTCAGCAGCATGGGTAGTAGCATGGCCCGCTGATGGTGCCACATGGGCCGTGCCACCCTCACTATCACCACCACTGCCTGCTCCATCACTCACATCATTCATACCCATCGTTACAATATCGTAATCTTCACTATCAGGTCGTGGTGTAGGGCCACGGGATGTGCTCCCAGTTTCTCCTTCCCCTTGGAAGGACATATGAAACACTACCAGACCGCATGCTACGTCGTACATACTGCCGCTTCACTGGGGAATATTCAGTCACTATAACTGCTTTCAATGACCTTGAAATCACTATCACTGCTAACATCTGGGTGTTGTACACGATCAAATAGTTTCCTCTTTCGTCCTGGTACAGGCAAACATGAACGTGAACAAGCCGGCCCAGCACCAGAGGTGGAAGGTTGTGGGTCATCTGGGTTTTCATCACTAATTACGTTATCCTGGGCACTTTTTCCGGTAACACTCACTTCAAAACCCTGGAATTCACTGTCACTGACATTTTCATCACTGTTAGAGCTATCACTTGGGAACGAAAGACCTCCAATCCGCGGAGGAGTGAGGAACTTCTTACCGAGAGGCATGGTGAAAATGGACTAACATGGCGTTCCCACAATGCACCGCTGGGTCCCAGATTTTTTTCACAGGGTGCACACCGACCACAGACCCATTCTCTCTCGTGTAGGCCTACCAGGCCTTTCCCGCTTGATTTGAAGCCGCTAGAATTTGTGCGTATAAATACGTCGGAAACATTGGCTCGTAAGACGTATTTATGTCGGAAACAGTCAAAGGGTTAAATTCATCCCTTGCCCATACAAGAAAATCTACAAAAATCTAATATTTCTGCTACTTTGAAAAGCCCCATTTCAAGCTACTTTGTCTTGAAACCAACCAAAATCATTTCAGTTTCAATGGTATTTGATTAGATGGGAGACATACTAAGAAACCATTAAAAACTATCCTAGAGAACATCTTAAAAGTCACTATCTTCAACCAAAATTTACCGTTCACAGCATACTTCTGTCAACAACAGACCTAGAAGGCAGAAGGGCCAAGTTAACAATTTTTCAAATGGATGCTAATTGGAATGCAATAGGTATTAAAAAAAAATCATTAAACATTTGGGAAATCTGAAAAAATAAGCTCAAGCTATACATGGAGGTCAAAGTTTGTGCAATAACCAGGCAATGAAAGACTATTAATTCATTTAGGGATTGGGGAGATTGTCTGGCAATCTTTCCTCTTGCAGCACTAAGGCCTTTAATAAAAACTTTTCGAAAGTCCAATCTTTAAATTTGATTTTAGTTGGGAAGGGAGCAAATAGTTTCATAGAATATTATTTCTACACACATGCACAAGGGAAGTACAATGCCTGCACCTTAAAGTCAGGGTTTGAGATAATGGCATTTTGGAGGGACATCAGAACCGTGGTATCCGAGAGCCTCTGTAAAGACAGTGATGGTTAAAGTGTTGAATGATTAAGTTTTTTCTTTATTTGGGTTGCCCTGCCTCAGTAGGAAATGGCAGACAAAAAAAAAAAAAAAAATGTACAAGGTATACAGACCATGGTTGGCATCAATAACATATTACTATATAGAAAGCCCCTTGTTATGCATTTCAGGCAAATTAGGCTTTGTCCCAGGATGTGACCCACACCAGTCAACTGACACCCAGGTACTCATTTTACTGATGGGTGAACATGGACAACCGGTGTAAGAAAACACGTCGTGTTTCCAGGCTTGCCGGGAATTGAACCCGGACCCCTCAGTGTGCAAAGCTAGCGCTTTTGCCATGGGCCACTATAATATAAAACAAGCTAGTGTTTGATCTGGTGACCATCAGGGCCCCAGTGCTGGATCTCACAGCATGGCTGTGTACCTTTCTGGAGAGGAATGTACAGCATCCAGATGCTTTTCTTCAGGGGCTCTGAAATTCTATTTGTCTAGCTATGCTTTATAGTGAAATTAGGAATGTTAGCAAGAAAAAGATAGCATTGCCTGCATGTCAACACTGTTATAAACACACAATAGGGCATTTTCCAAGCTGAAATTCCTTGGACAAAGGGGGACTTCCATTTGTTAAGCTACATGGTATGATGCAATGTATTTCCATCCTAGCAACCCAGCTTGCAGAGTTTGTGGCAACTGCAGTACTGTATTTATGACCACACCTTTACAGAGAAAGAAATTAGGAAACATTTAGGAATACTGTATGCATTTGATTTTGGGAAAATAATTATAATCAGGGATGAGTGGTTAACCCTCAAGGGTTATGTAACACATGGAGAATGAGAAGCAATCAGGTTCAATTAAAAAAGGGAAGGATATATCCATTTTTCTTGAATCAAGAGCCCTCACCTGCATCAAGGCACCTCCCCTGAGAAAGGTTTTAGGAAAGAATATGCATAATATTTTTTATTTATATTTCCTCAAACTATGATACATTAAATTAAGGGAACTGAATACATCACAAGCTTTAACAGCAAATTTAATATGAATGACTAGACAACTTTTCCTAGTTAATATAAATCATAAATCATACAAAAATTGCTTACATTCTAACAAAACAGCTCGTTTCGCAAATCTCA